TTTAGCGGAGATGAGCGGAGCTCATCGAGCCCCCGGGCCGGACCCACACACACAATAACACACACACGACACAAGATCTTCCAGACCACCTTCCGCAGAGATCTTTGTTCAGCCCGGAGTCTGATGACAACTCACAGAGAAAACAAAACATAAGCCCTCTCGCCGGGAAAGGGTTCTGTCCCAAAGGGTTCTGTCCTAACCCGGCAGAGCAGTCTGCTGGTCCTTCTGTCGTGCCTTCTCCTGGCTTCAGTCTTGTCGGAGGGGAAGGGTTCTGGCCCACCCTGGCCGAGCAGTTTTCTTGTTCTGTCGCGCCTGCTCCTGGCTTCAGTGCCCCTGCAGCCACCTATGGCAGGCACAAAAAATTCAAGCACGGGGGAGAGTTAGGGATGCACGATAGCCTATCGATATTTTGGACTATCGATAATCTTGTACCGATATATCGATATTTTAATATCGATGTTGCTGTAGGGCGATAGTACGATTTATCGATATTTTCTAGTGATTTTATCGATACTGTGAGAGTTTTAAAAAATTACTCAGCATACTTAACGTCTGTACGGAGCAGGCTAACCTACGAGACTGAGGGGAGGGCAGAGCGCAGAGCGCAGCGCAGGTCGAGTGGCACACAGAGCTGCTAGTTCGAGCCGAGAGATGGCGCTCGCATCACTCCACCGCCGCGTTGCCGTGATGCTCCCTCCCCCCTCCATCTTTTGCTCGTGTCATTTGTTTATGTTTACATCTAGCGCACGTTGTGTAGCTGAGGATCTGTAAAAGTGTACAAAGAATGGCTCGCAAAAAGAGTGAGGTGCGAAAACACTGGGATCCAGTTGGGACAAAGAAGGAAGCAAGAGCGCAGTGCAAACGTTGTGGCAAGATTTACAGCACCTCTTCCAACACCTCTAACTTATGGACACATTCCAAGACACACGGCATATTTCCTGCTGGAGCATCCGCTAGAGGTCGTGACAACTTATCTTGACCGAAGAGGGCTCCGAGCTCGCACCCGGAGAACTAAAGAAATACAGTCCGCTCAGGAGCCACTGGCGGGTCTCCGCGCGGGGGCTGCGGGGGCGGGTGGGGGAGGGTCTCTATTGAGGAGCCCGGCCGAGGAGGCGAGACTAATGGCCCACCATAAAACGGCCGGCTTGATTCCATTGCGTTAAATAAGTCCATGTTTCGTGAACATTTTAAATTCGCAACAACGACCACTCACCAGCGGAAAAAAAATGGCTACCGGACGTTTTTGAATCATTTTAATCGGACTTTTCGTCCTCAACTTATAACCTCTACGAAAGTGCTTAATAAAGCGGACATGCGTTGAGGAAACAAGCAGAAACACTCACTTTGCTGCTATTTATTTCCTAAACCGACAGTCATAGAGGCATTACTCATAAGAACTTAAATTTTATTTGCCAAATTCTGAACAATTCGATCTTTTATAAAATCTGTGTAAGGATCACCCCTTTTCCGGTAGACGCCTCCAAATATTGCCTTTTTGTTGCAAGACTTGTCACAAAATAGAACAGCCTCCGCCTTTCATTCAAAGCATTTCAAAGGATTAGACACTGTTTTAATCCTTAAAACCCAGATTAGAAAGAGGATAAGGAAAGAATTTTAAAAAAATGAGTACAATGACAATATTTAATCTAGATAAAAATTGACAGGAGAAAATGAACAAGAAAACCCTCGGTGCCGGGTTACAAGGACAGCAGAACCCGCTCGCCCACGTCGTCTTCGCAGGCAAGTGTTTGCGCACTTGGGCCCTGATGCTTAACACAAAGCCCCTCGGGTGCTGAATCGACTGAGGCAGTAGCCCTTACCTTCGTGCCTAGTGACAAGGAGAGCCGAACCCACGCGTCCCCATCGTCGTCACTCTCAAGTTCATGTCCATTTTGGCCCGGCTGGTCCACCAAGCACGCCGTGCCCGCTGGGGCATTCACCCACTGCTCGCAGTCCACCACAGGGGCGGTCGCCCACTGCTCGCAGTCCACGGGGGAAGTCTCCCACTCTTCAGTGCCCATGCTCAGGGCCAACTCGTCTTCGTCGTCCTCGTCCACACTCTCTTTGTCGTCCTCGTCGACACTCTCTTCGTCGTCGTACTCAAACATAAGTTGCCTTCTTCTGCTCGCACTCTGCACGCGACGCTCAGGCCCATTCCCTCGCCGTCAGTTGATTCAACTTCGTCTGCTTCGACCTGGGTAATAAAAAGTAAATGAAGACGCATTTTATCAAACCAGTTAATACACTCTTCCCTTTCCCACACCCATTTCTCCGGCGGATTTTACCTCTTCCTCGTCACTCGATTCCGCTCCCAGGGGAATGACCATAGGCTCAACAGAGGGGCCAAACCGAACTTGGCCTTCAGTCCACATGTCTGTGATGTGGTCTATTTCCATCATTTTGTCTTCTACTTTGATTATATTGTCCACATGCCTTTTCCACCGGTCATCGGTAATCAGCTCAAATGCCTCATCGATAAGGAGTCTCATTTCCTCCATCTTGTACTCCTGGGTGTTGTTGAGACCAATGTACTGCTTAATGTCCCCCCAAACATGCTCGATGGGGTTCAATTCGCAATGGTAAGAGGGAAGTCGCAGCACCTTATGGCCAGCTGCGCTGGCCATCTCGTCCACAATGTACCTGAAACACAGCTTTGCATTAAAGTGCGCCATGCAGAGCGAGGGAAGGCCGCGCGTAAGGGGCTTCCCCCCCCCCCCTCCCCCGGGGAGGGGGGCATTTCGGAGGGCCTAGGAAGGGGGAAGATTGAGTTTTGTTCAGTTTTTTTTTTTTTTTTTTTTTTGGGGGGGGGGGGGCATTAAAAAGTAAGTTGCCAACATTACAGTACTTACTGCTTTTGAGATTCTGGATTCTTCTCTAAAATCAATTGGTACAGAGCTGCATTGGTAAGATTTGGGTTGGGGTTCACATCGTGCCCCCACAGCCATTCGAGGAGAACTGATTTCTTACTGTACCGTCCCGGTACAGGATCCTGCATGAACATCGAGCAGATTATTATTTTGGGAGTAATTTAAAGGGGCATTTCCACTGTCTTCATGGAAATAAAGCGAATTTATTATTTGACATACTAACCTTTACTTTAGAATGGTACGATGCGTTGTCCATCACAATTACAGTGGGGTTCTCAAGACCTAGCAGAAGATCTTCGAACCAAGGGTGGAACACGTCACTGCACATCTCATCGTGATGTGTCCCGCCCTCGATTTTCTTCGATTTCTTAGCTTTGAAAACCAACTTAGCGCCTGGTACAAATCCTTTGGCCCCACCCGCATGTAGAAGCACGAAGCGGCCGCCTTTCCCTGAAATTAAAACGGCAAGCGTTATTCATTTCAAATATCACTCGAAAAGTTAACATGTAAGCAGTTTTCACACCTGTTTTGGTTTTCGGCCCTGTGGTGAGACCGTTTAGAAACGCATCGCGACCGCTCTTGATACCAGTATCGTACCAGGTGCAGGTCGTCGTGTGCCTCTGATTGACGTACGACTCATCAAGGTAAATGATGTCATACTTGTCACTTCTGTACTTCTTTATACTTCTAAGATAATTTTGTCGCCAAATGACAAGATCATCTCTTTCGAGAAGAATGCTGTTCCGATGGCGCTTCATGAATCGGAAACCCATGTCATTGAGGGCCCGACACACAGTCCGGTAACCCAGAGGCGGAAAATGATCTGACCTTTTTTGCATTTCATCCACCACTCGATGGGCCGTCACGACTTTGTTCTTCCGATACATTTGATGAATAAGTTTGCGCATGTCACTGTACACCCATTCGCCGTAAATGTCGACTCGTTTTTTAACCTTTGTACCAGGGCGGGACTTCCCTGGAGTGACATTCGACAGTCCTGCAAATTGGGGAACAAATTAATAAAGCCATCCGAACGCAATATAAACACGACATGAATCAAAATTCGCTTTCTTTACTATTGTTCACTCTTTTCTTGGCTCTTCGAAATGTACTTTCACTTACGCATGTCAGCTCTACAATTTCATTTACGATATCTTGTTTGGGAGTATCAGGAGTTTTAAGACGCTTCTTTGCGTACATGTGCATCAGTAAGTCTCTCGTACTGCTGCCCACTCTTTTGTTTTTCCTATCCATCAGGTACTTGTAAGGTGAAATAAGCGAGCGACTAGGTGGCTAAGGGAGAACAGAAATTTATCAAACTACGGAAATTCGCACACTATTTAATAAATACAATTGCACGTCATTCCAGTGCTTACAAGCGTGCACCGCATACCGCTATTTCGAAGCACGCCGCGCGCCGATACGAACGGGTTACCCTTCTCCCTCGGTCCTTAAAGCGCCATAGCCCAGGCAACTTTCCATACACCTATCCACCCCCCCCCCCTCCCGTAATACGCCCCTGGATCGCATCGGCGCTTGTCGTGCACCGGCACATCAAATATGCGGCGCACGTGTCATACGTAAATATCAAAAATATTCACCAAGTTTGTTTAGTTGTGAGATACACCGTTGTCACACGTGTACTGGAAATCCATGTATACGAATGTCGCACACCTGCAGGTGAGTGAAAAAAATTCCCTCGCTTGTAGGTGAGCGACAAAATTTTCACACACTTGTAGATGAGCGATTACAGATTCGTACACTTGGAAAAGAGCCTTTTACTTACTCAGCCGTGAATGGCCATTCACACATCTGCAGGTGTGTAAAAATTCCCTCGCACACCTGCAAGTGTGTGAATTTTTTCACTCACCTGCAGGTGTGCGTCACTCGTACACATAAATTTCCAGTGTGCTAACTTGAATGTCTCACGCGCCATGCACAAGTACTGGAATGTCACACACTCAAGAAAATTGCTCAGTGGCAAATGTTGGGTTACTTACG